CCCCCCCCCCCCCCCACAAAACAAAAACACGCCAAATGAGGTTTAGGTTTTATGAGGGTCTGGGGGGGTTTAGGTTTCACAGGTGTTTAGGGTTTTGGGGTTTACAGAGGTTTGGGTGTTTTGGGTTTTTTAAATCGGGTTTAAGCAGCTCTACACCCCAATACCCCGAAGCCCCAGAAACTCTAAACCCTAATACCTCTAAACCCTAAACCCTAAACCCTAAACCGTAAGGTACCGAGCATTCTGCGACCTGATGTCCCTGCCCCTCGTGGGCAACGCTGCAGACGTCATGGCTCTGTCCACCAACAAGTGGCAGTCCAAGGCATGCCTTCAGTGTAGAGGCTTTAAGGTTTAGGGTTTAGGGTTTCGGCTTCAGGGTTTAGGCTGTAGGGTTTAGGGTTTAGGGTTTAGGATATAGGGTTTAGGGTATAGGGTTTAGGGTTTAGGGCTTCAACCCAAATCCGGAGCCACGTCGTCAGCCAAGGAGCTAAGATAGGGGCCTAAATCATTACCAATACTTTTTTTTGGGCGGGGTGGGGGGGAGTTCTTATTACAATTACAGTACAAAATACCCCAAAACCTTATTCTAATTATTAAGGTCCCTATATTGGGCATCCTGCTCCCGTAACACCATGCGAGCACTCTGCCCTACAGTAAGACCTAAACACTCAACCCCAAACCCTAAACCCTCAAGCACAGGATAAGTAGAACTTTTGCAAGGGACCTTTGAAAAGCCCCTACATAAATATGTAGCTTTACATGGATTTTGGGGTTTAGGCGTGTCGGGGTTGAGGGAATATAGCAATAGCTCTTCCGACTCGTCTAAACCCTCAACCTTAGAGATCTGAAATCCGGGAAGCCCGAACCTGAACTAAACCCTAAACCCTGAACCCTAAACCCTAAACCCTAAACCCTAAACCCTAAACCGTACCTGAACTAAGCCCAGAATCCTGCCCTCACGAGGCCATCGTCCAGTCCTTTGGAGTGAAAGTGCCTGAGGGGGAGCTGCTTATCTCGTTCATCCGAGGCTTTGGGTTTGGGGGTTAGTACAGGGGCCCTTAAATAATTACATATACTACATATTTTGCAGGTTCCTTATTATAAACATACTACAAAGGGCCCCAAAACCTTATTCTAATTATTAAGGCTCCTACATTAGGTAAGGGTCACAGTTTGGGGGTTTAGGGGTTAGGGTTCATTGGGTCTGGAAGTTTCAGAATCTCGCGGAAAGAGGACCCGTAGTACACGGACCCCAAGGTCACGAGGCAAAAAGCTTCAGAAGTCATGTCCTTCGGGTGTCTAAAGGTCAGGAGCTGAGAGAGATCTGATGTGATGACTGGCTTGAATATAGGGGTCTCAACAACTTACCTATACTATTTTGTTTTTTTTTGGTGTTCCTTATTATGATTATAGTATCACATACCCAAAAAACCTATGCTAATTCTTAGGCCCCTACAGTATAGTACTTAAACCCTAAACCCTGAACCCTAAACCCTAAAAGCAGACAACCTAAACCCTAAACCCTAATTATTTAGGCCCCTACATTAATGTCATGTGGGGCTGCGTCCTGGCCCTGTAGAGGGCGAAGGGGCCCTCTTCAGAGGGGTGTACAGTCGTAGTAAAGTAGTAAGTGAGTCGCACAACCGTAAAACAGCAAGAGTACAGAAACAGCACAATAGTACTGGTATTAATAGCAGAATTATAATTATTATTATTATTATTAGTAGTAGTAGTAGTAGTAGTAGTAGTGTAGTAGTCGTCGTCGTCTTCTTCGTCGTCGTCGTAGTAGAAGCAGAAGAAGTAATAGCAGCAGCATCAGCAGCAGTAGTAGGAGGGTTTAGGGCTACCTTGAGCTGTGTTGGGGTCTTTAGGGGCCCCCAATACCTCGAAACCAAGCCCCGATCAACCCTGGATAGCTACCCAGATTAAGCCCTGAACCCCAAACCCCAAACCCTTCAGAACGCTTCATTCTGAGGGTGTAGGGTTTACGGAAGATTGTTTCCTTCATTGATTCATCCTAAACCCTAAACCCGTGCCCACTCCTCCCACAAACATTTTGGCCAAAGCTTTAACCCCCACGCCCCTACCCTAACCGTGACAAGCAAAAAAAAGCCTAAATCCTTGAACTCCTAGACCTAAACCCTAACCCCTAAACCCTAAACCCGAAATCCTAAGCCTTAAACCCTAAACCCTAAACCCTAAACCCTAAACCCTAAACCCCAAACCCCAAACCCTAAACCCTTCCCGAGGTTCCTGTACCAAGGTGAGAAGCCGAAAATGGCCCCGCCCTTCCTGGCCGGAGCCTCGGTTCTCCTGCCTTCATCTGGATTTAGGGTTTAGGGGTTTAGGGTTTAGGGGTTTAGGGTTTAGGGTTTAGGGTTTAGAGTTTAGGGTTTGGGTGGTTGTCAAAATCATGGTCCCTTTTTGGGTCCTTATTATAATACGGCACCTATTATTTAGGTTGACAACTACCCATCTGGATTTAGGCTTTAGGGGTTTGGGGTTTAGGGGGGTTCGGGTTTAGGGTTTAGGGTTTAGGGTTCAGGGTTCAGGGTTTAGGGTTTAGGGTTTAGGGTTTAGTAAGTTTACGGTAGATTGTTTAGGGTTTAGGGGTTCAGGGTTTAGGGATGTACGGTTTAGGGCTTCGGGTTTAGGGATCTGGGGTTTAGGGTTAAGGGATCCCTTCATCAGGGTTCTTGTTGAAGAATGTAATTTGCCATAATCGGGATCTATTGTAGGTCATATGGTTTCCTGATTATGGCAACTTACCCTAAGGGTCCAAGTGCCTAATTATCAAATACTCTCCAAAATAGTAACCTACATAGCTTTTATCCCAAACCCGAGTACCCAAGTATAGGGTCCTTTGGACCCTCGAATTTAACTTAAACCCTGTGGCTTCGGGGGCTCCATTTCACGCATTCTCGGAACTCGTTGGGTTTCGTGGGGGTTCGAGGGTTGACGGGAGTTGCATGCAATTGCGCTGAGGCCCGCTAAACCCTAACCCCTTAACCCTAAACCCCTAAACCCTAAACTCCTGAACCGTATAACCCCTAAACCCTAAACCCCTAAACCCTCAACCCCTAAACTCTAAACTCTAGACCCTAAGCCGTCCCGAAACACCCAATCGTCCCAGCTCAGAACTTGAGATGCGACCAAACACAGCTTGCAGGTTCTTCTCCGGGGGTCGTGATCCCACGGTTTAGGGTTAGGATCAAAACTACGGAGATCTTGTGAAACCCCACATCTCTGGGAAGTGCTACCCCGCGATTCAAATCTCAAGCCCTGGGACCGATCCGATAAACCTTGAATGCTTTATAGTGTGCGACAGATGGTGTTGCTCATGAGGTGAAGCCCTGCAACGAGGACAACTCCCAGGTGCCTTCGGAGTGGTACAAAGGTTTGCAAAAGTAGAAGCAATGTCTCCATCGAGTCTCTCTGTATACCTAATGTTGAAGCCTCAATAGTTACCTATACTATTCGGGGGTTTCCTTCTTATATTTCTAGTAGAATTCACCCCAAAACCCTATTCATCCTTATTCTAATTATTAAAGCCCCTATATTACTTATATGTCAATGGTTTTTCCGAAAAGCCGTTTTCGAACCACGAAAGCCGCTGTATTATCCTTCCCTGCTGCTGCCTCTAAATATATCACGGGCATTAGGGTTTCGGGTTTAGTAATTTAGGGCAAGTCTGATGGTATAGTTTACGAAGTAGTCGTATAATATAGGGGCCTTAATCATTACCTATACTATTTTCGGGGTTCCTTATTATGAGTATAGTATAATTTAGACCCTTCCTCTAACAGTAAGAAGAGCCCTCTCTTTAGAAGGTGTGGGTAGGGTTATTTCGGTGACATTTAGATATGGTTTGGAATGCTTAATTTAAGGGTTTGGAACACATATTTCTAGGGTTTAGAACACTTATTTCT